CATCAAAAGGATATTAAGTGAATAGAATTGGGATATAGATGGAATATAATGAAATAGAGCCACTTTGAGGTTCCCTATGAAATGAGGCATGGAACGGAGCCACTACGAAGAAGTTCCGGGAGTTACGAAGGAAACTTCAGACTCATATTATTCATGGGTTGAGAACAGGGGTTGAACTCTATGAGGTCAAATCTCCCGTTGTTCCTTAGTAGCTCAATGGTAGAGCGGCCAACTATTAATTGATTAGTTGTAGGTTTGAATCCTACTTGGGGCTGTCTTTGTTTATATTACATTCTATCTCATCGTATCATTCTATTCTACGATATTTGAGAATCACCGTCATACATCAAAGATGCAATTATTGATTTTCCCGATAAACCATAAATTACTACGAGCAAACCTTAAATATTCTTAGGTTAACTCTCAATTTATAATTTAATTTTAATAAAATATTTTTATTTTTATCTATATATTTTTTTTTCTTCCTTTCTTCTTCTCCCCCTCTTAATTATTGGAGGTGACATAAAATATTAAAAAATAATAAAATAAGATAAACTAAAAATTGAAGAGGAGGCGAGAAATAATTTTTTGATATTTATTAAAATAATTTAATGATTTTAAAAATTATATATATATTATAATTAATTATATTAATTCAAAAATATCAAGTTTTGGACTTAAACATAATGGATGAGTGATGGGGCATTGATGATAATATAATGCGTAAATAAGAATTGTGGGGAAGAAAAAAAAGAAAAAAAAAGGGTAAAAGCAAAATTATCGGATTATGAATAGTAAAATATTATTTTATTAATTTTAAGATATTATAAAATAGTAAAAAACCCTTTAAATAGTAAGCTCCTATATAAAAAAATTAAAAATAGAAAAACCAATATAAAAGGAAAAGAGCTACAATGCTCCACCACGATACAAAAGTGGACAGTAATTGGGCCGACAGGAGCAAAGGGCTGGCCCATGTTGGAGACGCGAATGATTTGGATCCAGGTCCATGTTTTAGAGAAGTGAAATCTGAAGCCGTCTGATCGACATCGGTGCTCATCATACTTGTTTTACGCCGTCCATTCTCGAACTCTCTCTTCTTATCACCTGCGCTTTCTCCCATCATTTCGATCGGAAGATCTCGATCGGGGCGGCGAAAGATGTTTCTGCGACGGGTGATGCTGAGGGGTGGGATGGGGGCGATGATGATGCAGGCGGCGAAGAAGGTGAAAGAGACGACGGGGATCGTGGGGCTCGACGTGGTGCCCAACGCCCGGGAGGTGCTCGTCTCCCTCTACACACGCACCCTCAAGGAGATCCAGGCCGTGCCCCAGGATGAGGGCTACCGCAAGGCCGTCGAGAGCTTCACTCGCCACCGCCTCCAGGTCTGCCAGGAGGAGGAGGACTGGGAGGCCATCGAGAAGCGCCTTGGCTGCGGCCAGGTCGAGGAGCTCATCGAGGAGGCACAGGACGAGCTCAAGCTCATCGGAAAGATGATCGGTCGGTATCTCTATATTCCTTTCTTCCTTTTTCCATCCTTTTGCAGTCATGGTGATGCTTGCTTGGACCTCAATCGTTATTTTGCGAATCGTATTTGTCCGTGTATAGGGCTTTCTCTGTCTGAACCTTCGTGATCCTTGTAATTTACCTTATTCTGTATGCTAATTCCATCTTTGTTGAAATCTGTTCACAAGTTTATCAGTAAAATGTGGATCTTTAGGGTGTTATTACTGTAAATATGAGTTATTAGGGCTTTCTCTGTCTGAAACTGCGTGGTCCTTGTAGTTTACATTATTTTTGCATGCTAATTTCCTCTTTGTTGAAGT